CTCAAAACAGTGCTAATGGTGGGTAAGTGTGTCTTTGAATGCCCCAAATTGTACACTCTCTTCTTTAATTGAAAAGTCAATATCAATAGGTTGGAGAAGGGCTTTTGGTGAAGATTTAGAAACCTGTATATTCTTATTTGTCTCCTGTAATTTATCCTCCTTTATTTAGGGTAGCTAAGATCAAACCTACTCACTTGTCCTCAAAGCCAAGAGAGTGAGAAAATGTAAAGATGAGAACTGTCAGCTGGCCCTTCCTAGCAAAGAAAAGTGGTGGTCTGTTTTCAAGAGGCGTGTGTTCCTTTGGCTTCTTTGGTCCAAATGACCTGCATGTATTTGGTCATATCTGAGCTTCTAACCATCCCTGAGGGGTTGAAATCCAGCTTAAAACAAAACAAAACAGGGAAGCTGGCTCCTCTTTCTTTCAGTGGGTGGAATCTCCTATCTTTGGGGACTGACAGAAACTATGTAAATAAGATAAAGGAGACTAAATGTTCTTTGGTCACTACTTAAGTCCAAGGTTCTCCTTTCTTCAATAGCACCAAAGCCTTGTTAATTATAACCTAGACTACGAGTCTGTTAAAGTTAGAAGAGGTCATTTACTTTAACAAAATCCCCTTGTTTTATAGACAAGGACATTTCAGCCCAGGAAGTTTAAATGTCTGCCAAAGTCATACAGCTAATGAATGACAGGTCTGGGAGCAGTTTTCTGAGCATTATATATCAAAGGAAAGAAGCTTAAGTTAATAATAATAACCTAGATCTAGAAAGGTTGTTGCAATCAATAACAATGAAAGTTAATTGCAAAGTTTCACTTAAACTCTTTATAAAACAGCACGTTTTAACACATGAAGAATGCCATTTGTTTATCCAGATCTGTTCTTAATAACTATACATTGGAAGTATGTTTTACAAAAGCTATAAATCTGGTATAGCTGAAAGGGTATCCAACTTTCTTTTCTAATTGATTTACTTCTCCTTTTTCCCAGACCGCCGAGGTAAAGCATATACAGTTTATTTAAGGGACTGTTTATAGACTCTTAAAACTAAAAAAGACCCCAGAAACTTTTTCTTTTGGTTGCTCTTAATTGAAACCATCCAAGATGGTTGGTTGTCTGTCAATTTTTCAAGTATCTCCAAGGAGAGAAATTCCACAAGCCCATAACAGCATGTTAAAATGGTTAATCACCATGGTTGTCAAAAATTATATCTATGGCAAGTTTAACTTCTCCTATTTCACTTGAAGCTCTTTTCCGCTTGCTGTGTTTCATGCAAGATGAGGTTATCATAGCTAGCTTTTTCCCTCAACGTGCTTTCACCTCTACTATGCCACCATTTTTCTCATAGGACAATGAGAGCAGAAGGCTGGTTGATAGACTCTCTTACTCTGATGGATGGGGAAGAATCAGTAATTAGCTCTTCATTGGATCTTTTATTTCATAAAATGTCTGAGGAAGCTGCATTAATTATACTTGAACTGTTCCACTTATGCTGGGAAGATGTTCATGAAACAGATAATGTAGAAGGTTGCTTCCACTGTGCTCTAGTGGAATTTGGGCTTGAAGGGAAATAGGAGCTCATTCACAGCATTGGGTCAAGCTACACAAAGTAAACATGACAAAAATTTTTATTTGGAACAGTTCTAATAGGGTTAAAAAAAAAACCCTGTTTGTTAAATATTCTGTATTGACAAAACAAGAGATAGATAGGGAGGCAATTTTATTTTAGATGTTTGAGAGTCAAACTAAGATCAGAAACCACCTTCCACTACTAAAAAAAAAAAAAAAAAAAAATCTATACTTCCAAAATGGATTTGAAGCAGCTTAAAATAAAAGGCACAGACACACTAACCCTTTGAAAATGAGTAAAAAACAATAAGAGCCAACTGACAGGGGATAGAGGTGGGGAAGAATGCTTCTCCCTAAAAAGTATTTCAAAGACATTAAATGCTTAGAGCTGACTTCTCCATACACAGCAAATCTCGGGGGACAAAAAAGAAACCCAATAAACTTTGTTGACAGTGTTGACGCCTATGAGAATAATTGGCTCAGACACAAAACAGACCATCAGTGTAGCTTGGGGATGGACAAAACGCAGCCTCTAAGTCATTGTTAGTATGTATTATATTTAGTTGACAATAAGAAAAGGTTTTATCAAATAACTGGGTAAACATGAGGTAAGAAGTATCGTCCACAGTACTTGACAACCCGAATTCTTCATGGTTCTTAAGACTAAGGTCCCAAACGAGTAATTCCATTCAATTCAATTGGATTCAATTCAATTTGATCTTGTCAGTTCAACAATCAAATATGAGCAGCTACTGTATCAACCACTGAGCTAAACACTAGGATTCAAAGGTAAATAAATATGTCCTTTGGCATCAAGGAGCACATTAAGAGGGCATTATTCACGGGAGGGTAGAACCTGGTAATTTGCCACAAATGAAACAATATATTCAGGAAAAGCATAAAGGATATAATCTATTCTCCATGGTTATTTTTCTCTTATGACTCTTGATAATGCTTACGTGTATTTTTTTTTTTTTTTTACCACTCAACTGTGAGCTCCTTGAAGACAAGGTCAATCTCTCATTCATTTCTAGGTATCTCATTCATGCCTAGTACAGTGTCTTACATATAACAGATACTCCATCTATGTTGTGAAATAGATTAAAAGAATTTAAATGGCTTAACTTCTTTTGGGCAAAGAATATTGTCCAGTTGACTAGAAAGTTAACAAGAGTACTTTTGTGCATGAGAGTCTATGTTAGACTTATGATCAACATAGGTCATGGAATTCTATTTAATATAAGGTGGAATATGTGAAACGTACTCTCAATGATAGTACTGAAAATAATATACGATTTACAAAACTGTTTTCTGCCTCAAGTCATGCTCTAAACATCAAGAGTTGCTATATATAACCCCTTTCAAGTTATTAAATGGAATTTTTAAAAATTTGCTAAAATTTTATTGTTGTAGAAATGGAATAAAAGAACCCTTTCAGTGCCTTGAAACTGGTTTCCATCATAGTTGTCCAATACTCTTAAGTGTCTACATGAACATATATATATAAGTATCATACAGCTACTTAGGAACAAATCATTCTTTCTACCTCATTTTTCATCATCTAATGCAAACATCACAGGCATATAAGGATCCAGTTTCTATGCACAGTGCATGGAAATCCTGAAGCATGTCATGTCGAACATCACATTTTAACCTGGCACATTACAGAGGACACTTGTAGGCTTGGCAATTACCTAGTGAACTGGATCAAAGGAAATTGCACAAATGGATTATCAAGGCAAAAAAAATCCTCTTGGGCATAATAAGTGAGAACCACTTTTTCATTTTTTAAAAAATGTGGATCAGTAGCAGCAAATTATAGAATAATTACAACCCACTGTTGGGTCATGTGGTGTCACACAGTTACTGTCCGCAGGAGGTGTTAAAGGTAAAACAAGTCTGCTATTGGAAAAGCACCTACCCAATGTGCTCATTCCTCTGCCTTGCAACAGAGAACTGGATAGACTTGATGTATTACCAGAAAAATAAATGAATTTACTCAATTAAACCACCAGCTGAAAGCAGAGAGTGGGAATTTGACTGTTCAAATAGTAGAAAGCACTTCTGATTCTCTGTCATTAGTGATTTTAAAACTATTTGTTGCCAAATCCACTGTAAGTGCAGGTCACCAGTCCTCCCATCCCCAAACCTCTTCCTTCCCACCTCCCCTACTCATCTCCATACTGGTATACACGGGCCCCCCACCCCCAGTCATACACTAATAGACACACACACACACACACACACACACACACACACACACACTCTCTCTCTCTCTCTCTCTCTCTCTCTCTCTCTCTCTTTCTCTCTCTCTCTCTCTCTCTCTCTCTACCTGCCTAGAGAGAGGCCAACATTTGGGAAGAAGATGAGAGAGACTTCAAATGTGTGAGTCATCACAGGAGCTATTCAGAGCTTAGTGGGTAACTGAGGTAAGCTGTCTACACTTGAGTGATATGAACCTTTAAGAATGATTCATGCTCAGTTTCCTGAAACTCTCTAAAATTCCAAAGAATTATACAGAATGAGCATCTGGCTTTAAATCTTTCACTGTCCTGTAATATATAGTGAGATAAATGCAGATGAGGTAGATTCTTTAAGTGATCAATTCCCTTAGGTACCGCTGATTTTGTTTGTGTTTATTATTTGCAAACCTTGACTTGGCTGTCTGCTTCTTATTCACTGTTGACTTTCTAATCACCTGAGACCTGCTTATGGGATAAGTGACCCTGCACTTGTCAGAGACCCTTTTCCAGATGGAGATATCACTAGAGAGTCCCAGAGAAGAGCGGTGCCAAAAGAGAGCAATAACAACAACAACAAAATCACGGTCAATTTGCATAGAGGGCAAATTAGTACAGCATTTCAGTTTGCATTTAGAAAGAGCCTGTGTATTTCCAGACATGCCTTTGAGTGAAGTTCACCTTCTGTCTGTCTGTTCATGGTGATTGCATATCGCATGGGGACATCTGGGATGTATCCCCTTAATTCTTTTCCCAAGCCCACAGGACTGAAGAGTCCTTACTATTTTATTCTAAAATATATAGCACTTAAAACGGCCTTACATGTGTTCCATATGTTTACATGTGCACCCATAGGTCTTGAAAACAAAAACCTCAATACCCCAGGGTCATTTTCTCCCATCCTTTCACTGAAAGGAATAGAGTAGTGAGGGTAGATCATAATAGTTGAAGCGAGGCTCAGCAGGAAGTAGTTAAAGACAAACTGTTAAGGAGGAAAATTCCATCCTAAATCTGCAAAACCTGCCAAAGCCCCACTGAAACACTATGCTTACTTTAAGGTGAGGAATCTCGGAGGCCTAGGACGGCTGCCAGCCACGGGCAGCCATTCAGTTATTCACACACTCCCTGCGGTTGTAAATCCACAGAGCCATATACTTCAGACTTTAGCAGCGCAGTGAGAGGGAGGGCTACTTACTGAAATAAAAGCCCCTGTCTCCACACACGAACTGAAGAGCATCCACCAGCTCAGCCCCGCAGAGCGTCTCGGGTCCAGCTGCGGCAGAGCTGGTGAAGGTGAGTAAGCACAGGGCCAGGTAGAGGAGATGCGAGGAGGATGTGATGTGCATCTTGACCTGCCGGAGAAACAGAAGAGGGTCAGCTTTCCTCCTTGGTCCTTGCAAGGGGAGAGGGGACGGGATGGGGTGCATTTACTCCCAGTGTTCCATTACTGTCATTCCCCAGAACTACCGGGCACAGAAGTGCAACAAAGTGCATCAGAGACCAGTGGGGTAGCGAACTGAGCATATCTTGGCATCAAACAACCTGTGTTTAATCCCCTTGCTGCTGTGGATCCTTGAAGAAATCCTCCCTGAAGCCCTTCTTTATGGGTTCCTATTTCAATTAAGATAAAATATCTAGAAACATTTACTGTGTATATGACGGATGCTATTATTATAGCGAGATCCCACACCACTCTGAGATCCAGGTGACACTTTTGAATTTTCAAAGGTTAAACTGTGCTCACTACAGATTTGGGGCCAAATAAGTTTTGTTAATTTAAATTCTCTAAAAACTGGCTATCCACAGATGGCATATGCATTAATTATTGACCAGAATATTAAATTAACCAGAACATCATTTCCTGGCTGCTGACTAAAAAGAATTTACTGTGACCAAAAAAAAAAAAAGACTTGTGAAAATACTGTATACTGTTATAGGTTTTTTTTTTTCCCCCTTCATTTAAGAGAGAGAGAAAGAAAGAGAGAGAGATTTCTTACCTGGAGTATATCAACAGTTAACACAATCACAAATGGAAGAAAAAAAAACAGAAACAGGAAAAATGTAAGAATTTAGGAATGAAATTGGCTCGTGCTAAGTAGATAATACTCCTGCATTCTAAAGCCCCTTGCCTCAAATCCAATATCAAATCAACACATATGTGTAGAGTCCCTTCCTTGTACAGGGCACTGGACTCAAAACCTACAAAAGTCTTTTTTTTTTTTCAATAGTCACAGGAATTCTGACTTCATCTCCTGGACTGGAGGGACTTATGTGTCACTGTATCCATTTTATAGCGAAATATACCGAGGGACCCCTGGTTGGCATGACTTAGTCACGACAGACAGCCAAATGACAGCTTTGCCAAAGCAGGATTCCTGTGGCTCAAGTCTCCGTCCTCACTCTAAGTAGTAGAAACAACGCTAAGGTGATCATTAAATTTTTCCATATTGCTACTTGTGGCACAAAGATGTGGTTTCTTCCAGGAAGGCTCCCAAGGTGAGTAGCTTCACCTCTTTCAGTTGCATCTTTCAACAGCACTGGAAGGGCCACTAGCAGGATGTTAGGTGAGGGACCCTATTAAAAGGGTCATGGAGTTACTCTGGAAGTTATAAAAAGAGGCTCTTTTGAACTTCACAGTAGTGGCAGGTCCATTCAACCTCATCACTTTTGGAGAAACAGACTCAGTTGTTTATTTTCCGACCACCCTCCTTGCCCTCCATGAACCCTCAACTTAATGGTTCTGCATCAGTGGCAGAGGTTTCCTCCGTCATTCTAAGTAAGATTTCCAGTTTTGTGTCCAGGTCTTCAGCCCAGCAATTGGGGGAAAAAATAAAAGCCTACAAAAATACCCCAAACCCCTGACTCTCGTTAACACAACGTAAATATTTAGTTAATGCTTGTAAAACAGTTGAAGATGAAAAGTGCCCTCTATTTGCAAATCATCATAAATAATGGACATAAAATAGAAGAGGTAAAAACTCAGCTGAACATTTTTTGCATTTTCTCAACAGGACCTCTACATGGAAATCCTCCACCCCCACATAGCCAAAGACACCAGGACTGCTAGCAGCAAGTTATCATCCAGTCCTCATTTTTCTTAGTTATAAAAGAAGTAGTGGGGGTTTTTCCTCTTTAATATTTCCAGTAGTTATCAACAAATCCAACCCAACTGGACTTCATGGCCCTTTTCAAAAGAATAAACCCATAATTGATCTTACAGCTTATACCCCCACACTCTGGCAATGGGCCAGTTCTAGAAAATATACTATTCAACAATCCTATTTCTCCACCCCTCCCTTCTTTGTTGAGTTTATAGTATTGCTGAAGACTAAGCACCTGCCACTGTAGATGCCTTCAAGTTCTTCAGTTTTTGTGAAATCTAGGGGAAAAAAATATTCAACTTATAGCCCTAGTGAATTTAGAACTTCATTAGATGTCAAAACTATATTTTTAATAGCTATTTCTGGTATAACACATTTAAGTCCAGCAATACATATAAATCTCTAACATTTAAGAACTTAAGGTTTTTTTATAGATTTTTCTTTTTCTTCTCTTTCTCTCTTTTCTTTCTTCCTTTCTTTCTTTTCTGAGTTATATGTCAGATAAGTATCAGTACTTATAGTTCTAGGACAAGATAGAACCTCTAGTGCATTTTCCTTTAGTTTAGGGAACAGTCCAGTACACCCACAGAGAACCAGAGAATGTATCACATTATGTTCCCAAAAAGAGAAAACAATAACGAACTTGCTTAGGAGTTAAAAGTATGAAACAAGTGGCCCCATATGTTCATCGTTTCCTTGGCCTTTTATTTTGCCAAACACAAAAGAAATGAATAGAGAGAAAGCAAAGATATGATAGAGAGAAAAGAAGGAAGGATCAGAAAGAGAAGAGAGAAAAGAAAAAACATTCAGAACACTTTTCCTTAAAAATCATTCACAAATCCCAATTTTAAAAGACCTTTCTTATTTATCCTAAATAAATGGAATATCAATTGATTCCAGATGTCTGGGCTACAATGAAAATGCCCAGGAAAATTTGAGGGCAAGAGTCATAAGAAAATACTCACTGTAGGTGTAATCATTTTTGTTTGTTCCAGGTCTTTTACAGCAGGTCAGGGTGGGTATTATGAGGCTGATGTGGATAGAAAACTGAGGACTTAAAAACATGTGCTGCTTTGTGGGTGGGGTTTGTGAAAGCATCTAGTTACATTTGGACACCCAGGCAGGTATTCTATGAGCCTGGGTAAACTGCCTTTTGTCCATTCAAATAATGAGCAAATTGCACAGCTGGGATTTAAATCAATCTTTTCCCCCCAATCAAGCCACCAATTTCCATTGTGTGCCTATTGTAGCCTCCCAGAATAGTGACCCAAGCTCCAGTGGGCTCCCTTTCTCCCTTCCCCCACCCCCACTCTCTTGGAAATACCTTGAGACTCAGAGTACAAAGCTTGTGAGTTCTGCCTTTAGGCAGGACACCTTTACTCACTGAATTACGTTCAAAAGACCATGCAGCTCCCTCAAACCACTTCCTGCTTCAAGCCAGGAAAACGTAACAACTTATTACTAGCTCCGCTTCTGAAGTGTTCAGGATACATTCACAGCACGAAAAGTGAATTTGGAGACAATTCTCTAAACTTGTAATTAATTCAGAGATAATATTCCACAGTCTCTTTTATGATCATTTAAGTAGGGAGACAAAAACCGCAGCTGCCAGACCACATAGTACATATGCATCTTGATTTCATCTCTTGTAAAGCAAGGTGGCTAGCATGCGTTGGCATCTCAGAAACAGCAGAATCAGGTGCCTGACAAGGGGGTATCCTTAAGTCTTAAGCCACTTACTTGACTAAGAAAAGTCCTAGTGGTGCAGTATTTGAAAGCAGTGAACGAATGTTGCACTAAGTGGCAGAGATGTTTTATGAATTGAGCCCTCAGGCGGTTGCGTCTGTGGAGCCAGTGACAGTGGCTTAAAAGCGCGTGCAAATTGGAAAAAACACAAGTCTTGAAGGGTATAATTCTGCTGAGAACGGAAACTAGAACTAGGGCCAGTGATCGGAAACGAGAAGTTGGTGCATTGACAACAGCAGCCAGATTTACCTAAAGAGACTTTACAACACTGAGTATAAAATCAGAGTTCCACAACACAAAACCCTAAGTCCAAACTTCGCCCATGAAAGTCCTCTTCAGAAGAGAAAAGTTGGCAAACAGCTACTAGAAAGTTTCTGCTTTCCATATACAGTACACATTTGTTTAAATTATACTGATATGCAAGGTCAGCAAGAATTGTCAAGGAGTTCTTTTTCGGAAGAACAAATTAAACTTCACTCTAACTCTCTGGGCATAAGCATAGAGTTCCGGGACCTTAGCTCCAAGGATCATATTTAAAAGCTTTAATATCATCTAAAATGTAACTCTTTGTATGTGGCATGCCTTATAAATAAAATCCTGACAAGTTACACACACACACACACACACACACACACACACACACATGCATGCACACGAACATGGTCTTAAAAATAAAACATCTGCACCTGCAAAAGAAAAAAAAATCCCAAAGTTCATATCCATGCTCTATGTCCCTCAGCCATAGATAGGATTTAAAGGAATCTTCTATAATAACACCATGGAAGCCCTGAAGAAGTGGAGGATTTAGCATAAGTACCTTGCAATAGTTTCTACTCTTACAGATATCTGTGCAAATGCATCCATCTCCCCAGATATTTTTTCAGATCTCACAGAATTGCATATTCAGCAATTTATAAATAACTCCCAGTTCCGAAACAATGAAAAATTTCAAAGTGAATAACAGTTCTAGGCAGAAGCAAACAGTACACAATTTAAATAAAATTCCCCAATGACTTCAAAGAGTAAGAAATATTTACCTTCAAGAAATCACAAAAGCAGCACTTAAATAATTGTGTTGGAAGACTGCTGATTTTCCCCATTGCTTCTGAAGTACAAAGTCTGGAAATGAATTGGTTAGCAGGAATAATGAAGCAGAAAGAAATCCAGAGAGATGGGAGATGTTGAGAGCAATGTCACATTTCAATTTTGAGGACTTTATTCCATTGCGCAGGCTCTATCTGCTCTGAATTTAGCAGTGACAGTGAGATTTAGCAAACAGAAGAGGGATTTAGAGAAAATCCTCACATTTATCTACAAAACACAGACACTGTAGACAGGAAACAGCTGGGGGAACATTTGCCTTCTCTCTCTCTCCCTCTTCTGGCAAAGTTATCGACTAAGGACTTTTTTGGGCATGGTGACAAATAACATCATACCTTTGCATTTTAAAACTAGAGCACAGAAGCATTTTTTTCCCTTAAAAGAATGTGTGTTAGTGACAGGGTTAGGAGACATTAAAATACTTATGCTGCCATAGAAAATAAGGATCTGTTCCCTGATTAACTTTTTACTGGGCATAAAGACACACACGTCTGCTAATACACCTTACCGGGATGAAAGTAATATACACGGGGGATGGGTGAGCAATTTTACATTCTAGAGCAAATGCAAAATTAAAAAAAAAGCAAGGAAGAAAAGACCATCTCCAGCAATCCCTACAATTTTAACCCCGAAGTGACTGGGGTAAAGTAGGTTGGAAGACAGCGCTCTGATGACCCCTTGTCCTAGTTGCTGAGTGAGGGGAGTGATCTCATTTCCTCGAACCTACAGGAGGGGCAGGCAGCATTGTATCGTCTCCGGTCAGGACACTGTCTCAGACTTTTTGCCTGCAAGGAGGCAAAGACAATGCTGAGCTATAAAACCAACTGAAAAATAAAATCTTTTTTTTTCCATTCTTCTACTGGGCTACCTATTACCACCCACACCCCACAACCCTGGGGGAAGGGCACCTGAGGGGCAAACTATTTTTCCATTGTTTGTATTTTTCTGCAAAATGTGAACCTCTGTGTGTGTGTGTACGTTGTGTGTGTGTGTGTTTTCTTTCTCCAATTTTTGTGTATTCTAAATAACACCAGCTGGCTAGCAATACCCTCTCAAGGGTTATGATGTCATTCAAATCCCTCAGCTGGGTAAGTGGCCGGCAACATGGTCCAAGCCAGCTGTTTCGCTATTTATAATGTACACTTGCCTTTGCCATTGAGAATTAAGTTCTGATCTTTTGTTGATACAGTTTGTACCTATTTCTCTTTGGTTTTGGTTTTGTGAAGCAGTAGATAAGAAAGTGGATTATGAAATAAGGTTGCAAAAGCCCAGAGCAGACATACCACTTTCCATAGATATCTCTCCAGGCCTGGTTTCCCAGGAGTGGGGGAAATAACCTGGCCTTTGCATTATTTTTCTTGTGATTCTCAGGGGACTGACACACAAACTGAAAATAGAGGTCTGCTGGAAACTCTCCTCTGGCTCTTTACGATGTCTTGTGGCCCGAAATTTGTAGAGGTGGGTACCCTCAGAAGAAAACCTGTTTGGTTTTGAAAGGGAGTTGGATTTGGTCAAGTCTTCCGCGTGGTTAATACGTTGTAGCAATATTTACCTTCCAGAAATAAAAGGTAGAAGTCTGGAATCATGTTGTTTCCGTGGTGCACTATTCAGCATCATTTTGTGAGCTCTTACTGTGTGTCCAACTACATGTATCTCTAGAGAAACGAAGAGGAGTAAGATACAGTCAAGGCCCCCCAGGGACTTTCAGCTGAGTGGCAGATACAGCAAGGAAAATGTTACCGTCATGTATGTGCTCTTTTAAAACTATGAACAGTGAACAACCGGGAGGGAGCTACAAATTCTCTGGGAAGACGGGGAAGTGAAACCTTTTTGAAAATCCAGATTGGGGGAGCCGGATTGGATCAAGAGAGGCTTTGGGTATAAAGTTGGGAAGTTTCAGCGGCTAGGATTTGACCTAAAGTGTATACAAAGAGGCTTCATCAAGAGGTTGCCCGGTAGGCATCTGCAGGAGAATAATCCATGGCTTCCTCTAACAAACTATCCTGGCACACTTGATTTATGACTTTATTTACCAAAAATCTTTCTTTTTTTCTGCAGCTTTTATAGATCATTCCCTTTGTGAAAAACAAAGTGCATCCTTCTCTAAGGGACTTTGATGATGTAGATGGTATGGAACCAAAGAGCTGATCTCACCTGTCTCCCAGATGAGAAAGAACCTTCTTTTGCAAGTCGGGAGAGTCAGGTACTGGCTGGAGTCTCGGCATGAATTCCTCTTTCTACCACGGGGCACCTTCACAGGTGAAGGCCAGGTCTTTGTTCTACCCCCTTCTTATCACAGTTTTAGCATACTTTAATTGTTCCAAGATGTCCTAGAAGCTAACTATATTTCTCCAAGTCTGTCACTCAGACTGATGTGCTCTCTTGGCACCCCCGGTGCACAGATCACCTTATCTGAAACCATTTCATATGAAAGGCTGCTTTGGGGACAGAACACATACCATTCCATCAGGCACTGCACTCCTACGATATCGACACACTGACTCACAGTCTCTTGGTTTTATAACCCCAATTACCCTTAAAGGATAATTAGGTTTTAATTTATGTCCCAGTTTTTATGTCACAATCAAAGAAAACTGAAATTTCAGTGAATCGTAATTGTCATCAGCTGTGCCATGGAAACATTCCGATGAGAGCTATCAGTTTCCAATGGAGGAAGCAATTTCCTGAAGTGATTAATGTATATTTCAATTTGGAGAATGGTCTATACTTCTGGGGAGCCCGCAACAGAGCAGGGCAATAATTTTTAGAGTAATGGCCATTTTCTCTGCCAGTTCCAGGAGTCAATATGAAAATGAAAGAGCAATAAATGTGCCACACGATTACTGTTTGATGATTGAGTTCTGTGCCTCTTTAGGAGAAAAAGAAACAAATGCACCTATTACTAGAGAGTCCAAGGTGGTAGTAAATCTAATGCCCAGAATAAGTTCAGGTCATGAAGTCCCATTGGAGAGAAACATCCAGGGTCATTCTAAAATTACTAAATGTCGTCTCCTGCCTGGAAAAATCTGACAGTGAGTTATGGGAATTGTGTGTCACTGAAATAGCTAACTGCAAGGATGTGCTCATCCTGAGAACATCCACTCCTGGAAATTCAGAGATTCACAGTTTCACCTTTTGCATGTGTAATGCCTGTGGGATATAAATAACTCTCCCCTAAAGCATTCTTGAGTAGTGTATTTGCATAAAGCAGACTTCTGACACTTTTCATTAAAAAAAAAAAAAAGTTGTTCATTTCCTTAAAGGATAGGCTGGCTGAGGTTCACAGAAAGGGGGTGTGGGGTGGTCAAGGCCCAGTCCTTCCTCCTTTTTGCTCAAACCATGTTCCCAATCTTTCCTGTGTTAACTGGAGAGAAGCTCATCCAGAAGATAATTTCATATCCATGTATAATAGGGAATATTTAAAATTTATTTCATTAACGTGTTGCTGAATCCCAAGAAAAGCTCAGAATAGATGTTTGGAGGTAAGAGAACTTTGGAATCAAATAAAGGGGGAGGACTAAGTTTCTAGGGCAACCCACCAGGCAAAGAACTTGGAGAAACTATTGGATGTTTCTCCTGGATCATGGTTTGTGGGGAGGGTTGGTCTGGGAGTGTATTCTCCAGTGTTTGAGGTCAAGAGCTTGTCAACTCAGAATATAAAACTCAGAGGAAAAGACTGGACCTCAACAACTCCACACGCTGCAGGGCAGGAGGGCTAATGTCAGCTCCAAAAGCTCTGCTCAGAAGGGTCCCTATTATTCCCTCCCCCCCCCCAAGATCTTCTTTAGCTCAAAGGAACTGCTCTAACTCCTTAAAGGAGCATTCTCCCCGCAGCTAGGGAAAACAGTAGAAGGGAGGATAAATCCTCTCACTAAAGAAATCAATGCTTTCTTTTCAACATCAAACTTGGATCTTATTTCTTCTAAAATGTCAAAAGGACAAATGCTGGAAACAGAAACGAAACTGTTGTGGTTGTGTGAACAGAATAATTCTTCGTTGTGGCAGAGGAGTCGTCACTGCATGGGGTAAGGATGGGGTGGTGGAAGCGAGAGAACCTGAGGCTCACCACACTTGCCCCACGTTGAATAGAAAGTGGGGAAAGGAGACACCAACTCCAAACTTCAGGGGTAAAACTCACATAAGCGCTTTCTTTGGGAATCAAAAAATGTGCGCGCCCTCTAGTGGGCTTCCGGGAAACTGCCGCTGCACTCCACCGTGGCTGTGCGGCGTGGCAGGAGCCGGGGGTTTGAAATCTCTGGATTTAAATATGCTTTAATCTGCACTTATCTTTAGTTTTATTAAGTCTTTTGAAATACATAAGATAGATATTCAACTCGCTGTAATTTAAAAAGGGGGAAGAGTGCTAAAAGGGAAAGAAAGATCGTAAACTTCACGAGGGCGTGGACTGTTTCTTTGTGGCCTTATTCCCAATGCTTTGCTCCTGGCATGGGCTCAAAACATTTTGTTGAATGAATGAAAGTTTAGGAAATAAATGATGGTAAAGGTACAATATAAAAAATCACAAAGTCTTTGAGAGTAAAATGATCAACTTTCTCATTTTATAAGTAAGAAAAATGAGACCGGGAAAGGGAGGGTAGTTGGGGCATAGAAAAATGACTTGGCAAACAAAACATATTTAGGTGCTCGCAAGGGGCGCTGAAACCCAGCCTCCCTGTGCTTCTGCACTCTTTCTATCACGTCAGTTTTGAAAATGTGGGCTATGAACCCTGTGGTCAAAGACCAGGGCATTAAAGAGCCACCTAAGTATAGAAGTGGGGCCAGGGTGGTGGCCTGCACCTGTAGTCCCAGCTCCTCAGGAGGCTGAGGAAGGAGGATTGCTTGAGCCCAGGAGTTCAAGGCTAGTCGGGGCAACATAGAGAGACCCCTGTTTCAGAAAAAAAAAATATAGAAGTGATTCCACTTTCAATTCTCTTTCTATCCTGAATTTACCAAGGAGTAAGTCTCGGTTTGGCACTAGTCCATCTTCAACGCCTCTCTAGCACTTGCTAATCTCCCTTTTTAACAAAAACAAAGTGAATCTCAAGCCTGAAGTCTTTGCAGGCAGCAATTTCTATCCAGAATTTAATAATACTGTTTTTATGGAATTTGTTTTTTAAAATACCTTCTATTTAGGGCAAGCGATGCTATATTTAAAATAGATATTTTAAAGTTCAGTTTTAAAACATATGTATCTAAGTCTTAAAAACATCAATTCAGGAAAAGAATATATTTGAAGTAAGTAAATAATGTTACAGGTGGCCGG